GCACGCCTGCCGCATGTGCGTGCGTGCGTGCCCAAGATCCCGAGAGGAGAATGGAAGAGAAGGGATTGCAGCGGGACCATCCCCCCCGGGGGGTGATTTCTAGCTTTCTGTCTCTCTGTCTCTCTCTGTCTGGCGAGCGCACGTACCCTATAGCGAAAACCTCTCAAAAAAAAAATGGTATAAGTTTCAAAAATATTTGCACCAAAACAAATCCATAAATTAACTTCATTTTCCTTGATTCTGTTAGAGTCCTCTCATACATACACACGTGGCCCAGCAGTACAAGGTAGCACAAACAGTGTGGTGAGACATGTCAAAAATATTGAGCTGTCAGAAGTCATGACATGTTTTTGCATAGAAAAACAGGAAAAATATGCCATGACTTTTCTGACAACCCAGTAATTACTACAGGATTGCTCACTACAGAAGCCATTGGTTGCTGGGAAATGAGGAAAAGCTTTGGTCACAGAGGAGGGTTTGTGTCAGGCTATGAAGAAAGAGCTAAACACCTGAGATGGAATAAATGGGAGAGGAAGCAGGAGTGGCAAGGATAGCATTTGCAAAGATGTCCAGGTGAGAAATAAATGCGAGGCTTCAAGGCTCAATATGTTTCAGTTCCTCTTTAAAATCTCACTTGCAACTTACGGCATCTCTATTTCACATATCACTGTGACATTTTTTCATTTTAAATGCAATGCAGATAAATATATGTCATCCTCACTGAGATATTCAGAGGAAAAAATAAAAAGTTTGAAGAGAAATCAAAGAATAAAGGATGGGAGGAGGCAGAAAAACATGTCTGTTGTCTAAATGAATGGCTCTCAAAACAAGGTCTCTAATAAAATCTTGGGACCCACTCCAGACAAATTGAATAAAAATGCTGGGGGTGGGGGTGAGACCTCCCAGTCTGTGCTTTAACAAACCTTCCAGATGATTCTGGTACACATTAGAGTTTGAGGACCACTGGCCTAAGTAACAGGTTTGGTTTGGTTTGGTTTTACCTCAATACATCTTGCTCCAACTTGCAGTAATATTAATTTTTTGTTTTCTTTGATGGAAGAGAAAATAGAAAAACAATATGTATTTACTACATAAATTTTATGCAGTATAGAGACCGGCAGGTGGTGTGGTGCTTAAGGCACTGGAAAACTCCCACATGGTTGACCATGGTTCGAGTTCTGGACCTGGTGGCTTGCTTTCTCACTTTACCTCTCTCTCTCTCTCTCTGTGCTTTTGCTGATCAAATTAAAATAAATGAATGATTAAATAATTCTTGGAACCAGCAGTTGGCATAATGGCTATGTCGCTGAACTCCCATGTAGTCAACTGCAGTTCAAGTCCTGGACCCGGTGGCTTTAACTAACGCCAGGTGTATGTGCGTGCGTGCCCAAGATCCCGAGAGGAGAATGGAGGAGAAGGAATTGTGGCGTGGCCATCCCCCTGGGAGGTGATTTCTTGCTTTCTGTCTCTCTGTCTCTCTCTGTCTTTCTGGCGAGCGCACGCACCTTATAACAAAAACCTCTCCTAAAAAAGAAAAATTCTTTAAAAAATTTATGCAGTATAAAATGTTATGGAAAAAAAAATGTTATGGAGACAAAGGTTAAAATAGCATTAATTCATTAAAGCACTTATAAATATAAAAGATGAATGAATAAAAATGTAGTTACCTTATTTTACTAAATATTATTGGTTTATATATAATTTTAATAGTATTGAATTTTATAATCAATGGGTGGCTTTTCTTCCTAAATTTCTCTAAGATCCATTCCTATTATTTTTTCTTTTTAAACATCTTCTTTAAAGTGATTAGTAGCAATCCCTAGTCCTTGCTAATTCCACTACATACTATTGGGTTTTCAGGAAAGTCATGACATATTTTTCTATGTTTTTCTATGCAAAAATGTATCATGATTTTTATGACAACCCAATATTTTGATATGGCATGGCTGAATCCTGTTAGCTGTGCCTACCCCCTAAATATGGCCAAATCAGAATATACTTTCTCTTCCCCCTGTTTGCTATAAGGCCCACTGGCCAGTGAGAGAGAGAGAATCACCCCCTGGAGGGTGAGGCATGGTCATGCCTTAATCCCTTTTTCTCCACTCTCCCCTTGGGACTTGGGGCATGCACGCACATACAACCACTGTGTTTTTTGAGCAGCTGGGTCTGGGACTTAAACTGTCGAGTAGGCCATGTGGGCTCCAGCTGCCTTCACCACCACACCACCAGTTGGTCTTGCTTTCTCTTCTATAATCCACCTCCTCCTACATTGTTTAGATGGTGAAACCTACGCCCTCTCCAGTTTGGCATTCAAGATCCTAAATAAGCAGGCCTCAAAACCCCCACCACTGAAAATTTACTTCTCATTTACTGACCATGGTCCAGCCTGTGGACTGGCTACTGCTCACAGTTCTTTTATTTCTCTGTTTCTTTGGCCTAGATTAGACAGCCCTGCTCCAAGGTTTTTAAAGGAAGAGCTCCAGAGCACTGGGTCAGCGTCTTCGCCACCTATCACAGCAAACCTTCCATTATAGTGCTGACTTTTCCTCCTCACAGGGCTCAAAGATACGGTTCCCATTTCCACAGACATACATAACCGCCCCCAAGTAGGAAGAACTAACTTTTTTTAACAAAATAGTAACAAATTGCAGAGTAGCAATTTCACTTGGGTTTGGAAATTTTTCTCCATTGCAGTGTTTTTCAGTTGCAGGTTACAACCAATTAGCAGGTGGTAGAATCAATTGAAAAAATGGGAGCCAGCCTTTGTTTTGTTTTGTTTTTCATGAAACAGAATAGGATTTGTCTCTGGTTTGAGTCCAGAGATCTCCCTGAGTTGGGACCAGCAGGTAGCGTAATGGCTATGTTGCTTGGACTCCTACGTAGTCGACCGCGGTTTGAGTCCCGGACACGGTGGCTTAAACTCACGCCGGGTGCGTGTGTGTGCATGCCCAAGATCCCGAGAGAATGGAGAAGGGATTGTGGCATGACCATCCCCCCTGGGGGGTGATTTCTCGCTGTCTCTCTCTGTCTGGCTGGCGAGTTCACGGCCCCTATAGCAAAAACCCCTCAAAAAAAAAAAAAAAGAGAGATCTCCCTGAGTATGTGGTGCACGTGTGAGCCTACAATCCTGGCTGGCTGAAGGCTAGGGTAGAGCACAGTGATGGGACCCTATGGGGAGGTGCTGTCTCTATTTCTTTCTCACTAGCTCACTCACTAACGGAAAAGGTAAACTCACCAAAAAAAATTATCAAGGTGGTTATCTCAAATTTTAAAATATCATTTTGTGCAACTTGTTTCGATTTTAGGTATATGTGAATGTGCAGTAGATAGTAATATAGATGTATAGATGTAACCATTATTCCATCTGCTGGTTCCCTGATTAATAGTGTTTTATTTCCATATGTGAGGGTCTGTTCTAAGCATTTTGCAGGGGCTGTATTATCTCCTTTCAACACAGCAATCCTGAAGTGAGTGCAATCATCCCGTGAAGCTGAAATCCAGATCCTCTCTCTTGGGAACCTTTTTCTAGTCAAAGGTCCTGAGCACTCAACCTACCCCTAAGGGGTCTCAGATCCTACTTCACAGCAGTAGGGCCCCCAGTGTGTATTTTTCATCCCCCTCCTCTCCTGTTTTCCTTCCTCCTGTTCTCTCCCTGCTTCTTTGTAGATGTTCACTCACTGCTCTTGACCACACACCAATCCCCTACCTACCACATTCCACAGAAATCCTGTCTGCAGGACTGAATCTTCTATCTTTGAGGATATAAAAACAAATGTTTCTCCTCAGGTCCTCTGTCCTCAGGAACAGATTGGGGCACTGGTGGGTCAGGGCTCAGAGAATTCTTTTCTCGGTTACAAGCACCAGGACAGGGGAAGGCTGGGAATGCATCCCTTCATGGGCAGTGGCACCTGGGCTTCCCAGATGCCCTGCCCAAAGGCAGTTTCCTGCTCTGTTGACTTGGAAGGTCCAGTCCAGGCCAGCTTCCATCTGTAACTTCAAGGACTCCAAGCACTGTGGCATTTTGTGCCCAACTCCCTCACATAAGGGAGAATCGAAGGCCAGGTGAATTAGGTCCCTCTATGTGCATTTCCTGACCATTAGTGCTTAGGTGCTGATACCAGAGAGCTTGAACAGACAAATCACACTGAGGAATATGACCAGCCTGAGGCTGAGGGTGGGAACTGGGAAGGGGTGTTAGGATGGAGGGGGTAGAGGCAAGGAAAAGGGCCCACAGAGATCAGGGCAAAGAGGAGGAAGGGAAGGGAAAGTTGGTAGGGCTGAATCTTGAAGAAGGAGCTGAAGTCTATAGAGCTAAAAAGAAAGGGAGAATAAAAGTAGGTTTGGAAAACGTGACGAATACAGTTCTGGAAATAAGCTAAGCTTCAAGTACCCAATATCCATTCAGAAGCACTGGTCCACAAGGTTTGGTGTGGGTTTGAGTCCTGGGCCTGGCAGCTTGTTTCTCTTTCTCTGTCTGCCTCTCTCTGGTGAGTGCATATGCCCTATATCAAATTTAAAATAATAGTAATAAATAAAATAAACCTAAAAAAAAAGAAAAG